AATACTGACCATAATCATAAAATGAAGTATAGTGATACTAATGCTAGTAGGACTGATGATAAGAATAACCAAAGCATTTCAATCAGCATAGCATAAAATGAAAATAACAGTAACCGTAACGCTGACAGTAACAGTATACGGAGTAGGAGTAGTAGTAGCAGTAGCAGTAGCAGTAGCAGTAGCAGTAGCAGTAGCAGTAGCAGTAGCAGTAGCAGAAGCAGTAGCAGTAGCAGTAGCAGTAGCAGTAGCAGTAGCAGTAGTAGTAGTAGTAGTTGTAGTTGTAGTTGTAGTTGTAGTAGTAGTAGTAGTAGCAGTAGTAGTAGTAGTCGCAGTAGTAGTAGCAGTAATAGTAGAAGTAGCCCGGGGCCCCGCGGTGGACCCACCTTTTAAGAAGAATAGGAATGCACGGTGCCTGTTGCAAGTGCTGAAAGTACTGGCCAGGCCGTATGTTTCTAGACTTCAGTGGACTGCGGAATGGAGCTGCTAAACCCTGTTTTGGGGGACCAGCTCGGGTCTCCGAAACGGTGATTTTGGGCTTAAAACTGGCGTTTTTTTCTTCACCCCTCCTGTGTGTCGCTATGGCGCATGACGTCTCCGATCATACGCCACAGGTCTTGCTGGTGATTCCAGTGCTTCCACTGGAACTCACGGACCCGAAGCTCAACGGCTTTTTTGCGCTGAGCAGGAACCCCGTGGAGACTTTCTTCATCATTGCAGCATTGCCGCAGAAGCAAAACTGCCGACAGGGCCACAACAACAAAAAAAGGACTCATGGCTGCGACAATGCATGCAGTGTTCAAGACTCATGCCGTGCAGTGTTGAAGACTCATGCCGAACAGGACGTCATCAAGCCCCCTCCCACCCCCCCCGAGTCGATCGGAAATTTGCAGTGTTCAAGACTCATGCCGAACAGGACGTCATTAAGCCCCCCCAGTCGAGTCGATCAGTCGATCGGAAATGTGCGTGACAACATCCAACATCATCTTCGTCATCATCCTCAGCATTTCATAGTGATGATTAATTGCGGCTTGAAACATGCACGGGAGGTGGGTCCAGGAAGAGGCACCGGCCTAGAAGTAGTAGTAGTAGTAGTAGTAGTAGTAGTAGTAGTAGCAGTCGAGGTAGTGTGAATATTAATTAGAACAATGATAACACTCACAATCATAGTCATAGTCGTAAAACAATAAGAACACTAGTAGCAGCAATCGCAAAATAAGGATAAACTGAAAATGGCATGTTAGTGCAAACTGACGGGCTGGCGTGGCTCAACAGAAAAATGTAAAACGTCCAGCTCTGGACGTAGCTTCGCTGCAGGAGGCTACTCTGGTAGAAGCCAGGAAGTTGGAACATCAATCTCCTCACGCTTCAAGGCGGATTTTAAGTACTCCTAGCCCTAACCATCCAAAGGCCATGTTCCAACTTTGTGGGGTTCACAGTAGGTGGCAGTCTTCTGTTCAGACGAGCATGGAAATTGTCCAAATTCTGGTTCCTTGCGGTATCTCCGCATTCTAGCAGTTTGCTCCCAAGAATATATAGAAGGTTGAATAACTACCAACACCATTCCTTGAGGTTTTGGTACAGTTAAAAACTCCCAAAACCCTATTCCAGCGATTAAAGCTCCTACATCATAGCCCTAAATCCTGCGGTCCAAACCTTGTGGTCAAGTCCAAGGACCTGAACGAAAAGACCCCGATCCAAACGCCCGAAATCCTCAGCTGAAAAAATGCCGCCCAACACACTGTTACAATATGAGCATTAATACTTAGAAGGGGGTTCGCTTCGTGTCGTGCCCCTCGGCTCAGCTGACTACTCCCCAAACCCTTGTTGTGGAGTGGGTAACGTTTCACCTTTTTTGGGTAATGCAGTTCCTATATAATTCCTGTATAACCAAAAGAGTTAACCTTTAGTTCCCCATGATACCCGACAAGAAGGGCAAAGGCAGAGAAGAAAGGAAGCAAAGGACAGGTGGGGGTCGTGTAGGGTTGAGGGTTTAGCGCTGCCTGGAGCACCCGAAATTCAAATGTAAGTTTAAGGGTTTAGGGTGCAGAGTTTAGTGTAGTGGAAGACATGAAATATCAGAATTGCGCCTTGGCGGCACCTGGTCCATGAATCCACAGCATGCGCGTGGGGTGGCCACCCGAACAGGACATGAAGAACAGGATTTAGGGTTTAGGCGACAAGGGGTCCAGGTGAAACCCTTTGGCTGCTTCGACCGGGGCCGAGGCGAAGTACGTTGAGGATCACGGGAATACTGTTGTTACTTACCCCGATAGTAACCGATAAACACAATAGGCAGTCCCTTAAGCACTAAACCGGTACCGGTTGGTGGAACTTCGGAAAGGGAACCTTATTTTGACAATCGCCCGCATGTCGCGCCTTTGCTTCTGCTGGTCGATCCGGTGCATGACGGATGCTAAAATTTCAGGGTTTGGGACCAGCACCAAAATTACCATCGTAATCATTGCTTCCTTTTTCCAGCTGCTGTTGCTGTTGCTGTCTTTTTTGTTGAAGCCGGGGGTTTGTCAAGGGCAGGGTATGAGCAGTATGCAAGTCTCAATAATTAGTAACATTATTCCTTAGGGCTCCTGGTATATATAGAGTATCTTACACCCCCAAACCTTGTTCTGATATTCGTGGCCCCTGTATTCGACTTCTCGCAGATAGCATCAGCGTGCCAGGCTCGGCCTAGCCAGGAGCGCGCAGACACGGGGCTTACAATGAACCCCCAAACCCCTAAACACACCCTAGACCCTAAACCCTGAACACTCAGGCCCTAAATCCAAAACCTCAAACCCTAAACCCTGAGATGGCATGCTTGGCGAGAAAAGCTGCCAGGGCAGCACACTCAACTCTACATTCGCGCTTACAATGTCTGAGGCCTAGACCACCCGAGCTTCGCGCTTAAGAGGGTTTCAAAGCCCGTTGGTTCTAAGGCTAGAAGTATGGGCCCCTAATATGGGAGTTTCCGAAAATAGGGGACCCTAATATAGCACCCTAAATAGTAGGATCCCTATTATAAGGGCCCCCAAATAAGGTACCCCTAATTTTCGGAAACTCCCATATGGACCATTAGGCCTTTTTGAGGAAGCTCGAAGAACTGGGATGCCCAGTAGTACCCTTATTCCCTTTTTGTAGTCCTAGGTTCCCTATAAGGGAGTTTCCGAAAATTAGGGGTGCCTTATCTGGTGGTCCTTATAATAAGGATCCTACTATTTAGGGTGCTATATTAGGGTCCCCTATTTCCGGAAACTCCCCTATAAACTTACCCAATACCAACAAGGGAGCCCTTTTTACTCCTAGGTTACTGGGCATCCTCGAAGAACAATCCAGACTTGGCCCTGATGAACTGCATTAGGGTTCAGGGTTTAGGGTTTAGGGTTCAGGGTTTTGGGTTCAGGGTTCAGGGTTTAGGGTTTAGGGTTTAGGGTTTAGGGTTCAGGGTTCAGGGTTTAGGGTTCAGGGTTTTGGGTTCAGGGTTCAGGGTTTAGGGTTTAGGGTTTAGGCTTCAGGGTTTTGGGTTTAGGGTTTAGGGGTCTCAACCTTCGACAGCCATTCAATCCAATATCCCCAATACCCAACCTTTAAACTTGTTGGGTTCTTATAGTTTAGTAGGAATCGGAAAGTTTAAGCTTTTATGATTGGGGGAGTATAAGTCAAAAACTTCTCCCCTAAACCCCAGACACTCAATCCCAAACCCCACGCTTCAGGGTTCAGGGTTTGGGGGTGCAGGGTGTTTAGGTTTTAGGTTTAGGGGGTTAGTGGGTTCAGGGTCGCCTACTTGGAGGGGCAGAGGGGGACTTAGTAAGTAGGTGATAAGTAGATTGTAAGTACCCTGAATGGAGCTACCCCAAATTTAACCCTACTTATACACGACTTACTAAGTCCCCTGCCGCTCCAAGTATACATCCCAGCCCTACAAACTGCAAAGCCGGAAGCGACATGGATTTTGGGGCTTCCGGGCTTGGGTTTTACGGCTTTGCATCTACTGGGCTTCGGAGCATAATACTTACTGCTTTTAGGGTTTAGGGTTTAGGGTTTTTGGGTCACTTAAAGGGAAGAATTATGAAATAAAAGTCTATATTTTTTCCTCCCTGGTTACTTCAACGCCCAGTTCAAGTGGGAGGAAGCTTAGGGTGCGAGCTCTCAAAGCGCTTGCTTGAATGTGCGATACAGTAGCTATGCCCCGAACCTTGTTGAAATACCGCAGCATGTTAGGCTTCGGGGGCACGCAGAGCTGAAACTTAGGGGCACCTGTTATTTCGAGCTCGCAACCATGACAATGACAAGATACCTTCTCAGTTCCCTGTAATATGACCTTCGTGCAGGGCTTGTCTGGTCTTCCAGGATACCAACCGAAGCCCTACTCTCAAAGGCTTGAGGCCCGCAGCCCGAATCCCAGAACCCGAAAACCCGACTCATACACCGCTCACAGCCGCAAAGCCCCAATACCGCTAAACTGAAATTACAAACCCCGTAGACCCTTCGGATAGGCCTGAAAGGACCATCGCAAAGCCTGCTGGTTTTTCTTACAAACTGCACGAAGCTTCGCAAAACCCTGACCCAAACATCTGTCCGCAGCACCCTGACCAACTAAGAACATACAGCCGCAGACACCAAAACCTGTCTTTAACAATTCTTGAGCGACCCTTATGAATAACCGACAAACTGGCATAAACTCGCACAATACCGTTATGAAGCCCTGGTTTAAAGCCCTTTTTCTATAAAGCGTTAAACCTTCGGTGAGACCATAACCATTTTTGAAGCCCGAATCAAAACCCCACAAAAAACGTGACGAAACCGAAAGCACGCTCCAAGCACTTTATTCGCACCATTGAACTTAAAAGCCAACCCTACAAAGCCCAGATAAACGGCACACGAAACCACCGGCATAGCTTTATAACACATTCTTAGAAACCCTATGAAACTTCGTCAACAGAAACACTTTCTTCTAAACCCTAAACCCTAAAGCCTGAACCCTAAACCCTAAACACTAAACCGCCATGAGCTCGGCTGCCCGGACAGCCCAGGACCCCAGGGAGTTGCTTGTGTTTCTTCGATACAGGGTTCCTTTCAAGGGGTTTCCGTTAAGGGATCTATAGGGTTCCTTAAAGGGATCTATAGGGTTTAGGGTTTAGGGTCTACTTGGAGGCTCATGGGACTTACTAAGTACAGTTATAAGTATCCTCATTGGGGTTATAAGTACATATAAGTAAGGGGTTTCTTTGGGTGTTTCCTTTAAGGGAGCCTTTAAGCGGTTCCGTTAAAGGTTCCTTTCAAGGGGGTTCCTTTAAGGGGTTTCTTCCAGGGAAGCCTCTTAGGATGGAGGGTTAAGGGCTCCCTGTAAGGTTCCCTCTGCGGTCTTCCAGGAGGAGTTTTGTTTTGAAAGGTATGAGGTTCACGGTTTCGGGGTCATATCGGGCTTTGCATACGGTGTGTCAAGAGGCAAAAGGTTTCGGCCACATAAGGCCTTGCACAAGGTGTTGTGGGGCTCTAGGGGTTCTATAGTGGGTCAACGATGGCTTGGGTCTAGGATTAGTTCGGGCTTTAGGGGTCGAGGTGTTTAGCGCTTAGGGTTCAGCAGGCTTTAGGAGTTCAGGCTCCTAAATATTAATTTCCTAACCCCTAAACCCTAAACCTTATAAGCCCTAGACCCTCGCTGCTGGGAAGCCAAGAAGAGGCCCCCCCTGCTGAACCTAGACCCAAAACCCTATGCTCAACCGTTTAGGGTTTAGGGGTTTGGGAGTTCAGGGTTTCGGGGTTGAGGGTTTCAAGGTTGAACCCTTAAGCCCCTAAACCCGAAAGCTCAGAACCCTCAAATGTCTTGAGTTTCTGTGGGGCTGTTTCAGACTGTGCCTAAACCCTACCTGGACCCCAAATGACTCAATTTTTTAGAGGGTCCAGGTACACCCTACACAGTAAGGTTTGCCAAAGATGTTGGCTTTGATGCTTTTACACCGTAAGGTTTTAGAAAGGTTTTTGGCTTGTGTACTTTGGTCCTAGGCAAGGGTTTCTGTGGTTCGGGAGTTTCCCAGTTTTTTGGTTTAGGAGTTTGTGTTTCAGGGTTCAGGATTTCGGATTTGAGGTTTAGGGTTTGGGATTTTAGGGTTAGGATTTAATTCACTATGTTCGATTCCTTGTTCAGGGTTGTGGGTTTGGTCACCAAACTCCATCGCCCCTAAATATTCGGATAACCTTAAACCCTAAACCCTAAGCCCTAAACCCTAAACCCTGAGGGACGAGAGAAAAGCCGTTTCCTGTGGGAGGACTCGGGAGCGCAATCCCTTGAAACGCAGCTGCAGCGCCCGTTGCGGGAGGCCCCGGGAAGCCCAAACCCAGCTAACCCCGAACCAGCGACTCTAAACCCTAACCCCAAGGGTCCAAGTACCTGATAATCATACACTCACCAAAACCCTAACCTACATAGCTACTGCGAAAATCATCTCATTTCTGTAGCCTCAGAGCTCGCCTGTTTGGTTTCCGACTTCGACGGCCGCAGGTGGACTCACAGAAGTGGCTGGCTCCTGGTCTTTTAAAGGCTCTCTTCGAGGGTTCCTTTTGAAGGGTTCCCCCAAACCCTAAACCCTAAACCCCTAAACCCTAAACCCCTAAACCCCCAAACCCTAAACTCAAAAACCAGGTTTTTCAAAAGGGTGCCTTTCAAGAGTTCCTCTCGGAGTAGCTTCAAGGCTGTCCTGGTCCTCTTCACGGTTTTTAGGAGTTTAAGGTTTGTAGGGTTTGTACTTTAACCTACCAAACCTACTTTTTTGTAGGGTCCCTATAAATTCCATATTAGGGTTTATAACAAGAACCTACAAAATAGTAGGGTTTGGTAGTTTAAGGTAGGGGTTTAGGGGGTTCAGGGGCTTTTAGGGGTTTACGGGTTTAGGGTTTGTAGGGTTCAGGAATGGAGTTTGACCTAAACCCTAAACCCTAAACCCTAAGGGTTTCGGCTCCGGGTTCAGCCGATTGTTAGGGGCCAAAAAAAGCACATAAGCATAAGCATTTTATAGGGATATCCCTACCTTCATGGGCTTCAGTATAAGGGGGCTCATATGGGATATCCCTATCCTAAGTTTTGCTTATGTGCTTTTTTGGGGCCCTAGATTGAGGGGTTGGGGTTGCGGGGGCTTTTTTGGAGGGGCTACCTGGGAACCTAGTTGGAGGAGGGTCGGGAGACTTAGTAAGTAGACTTAGCTCTGTTACTACCTATTTACTAAGTCTCTCGACCTTGCAAGTAGTTGGAGGTTGAGGGTGCAGGGCCTTTGAGGATCCATGAGGCTGCAGGGGATTAGCGTTTCAGGTATCTGTAGGTTTTCGGAGCTTACTTACAGGATCATGGGACCTAGTAGCTAGGGTAACTAGGCGTATAAATAAGGTAACTGTACGTATGATATGTACTTATAAGGTACTTATAACCTGACTTGCTAAGTCCAATGATCCTCGAAGTAGGAGGGTCTATAAGCCTGCCGGGGTTTAGGGGCTTCGGGTTTCGGGTGCCATAGGGTTTTTTTAGGATTTAGGGTTTTAGGGTGTAGGGTTTAGGTTTTAGGGTTTAGTAATTTAGGTGCGCTAGGTATCGGTATGGGATCGCTTTTGATTTCCCTTCTTGTTTAATAGAGAGCCCTAATAATAAATAATTTTTGGGCCTGTTGAAACCGACACCTAGTACTATTGATGGACAAAATCCTGCATTACCCATTATAAGGAATATACCATAGCTCCCATAGTTTAGAGTCCTTAGGGTCATGCAGGATTTTGTCCATCAACAGTATCAAGGTATCGTAAGGTGGACCTTGGTAATGATTTCGTTGAGGATCTACTGGGGTCTTTGCGGTCTGTTAGGGTTTCGTCTGTAAGATCGTTGGGGGGATTCCGAAAATAGGGGACCCCAATATAATAGTACCCTGAATAGTAGGATCCTTATTATAAGGAGCCCAAGTAAGGTACCCCTAATTTTTGGAAACCCCTTCATTTTTGGGAGTTTCGTCCTGTTTTCATGCCTTAAATTATGATATGATTTCAGGCATATCTTTAATTAGGGGATATTGGAGTACCGCGAAGTAAACCTAAGCTCGAGACCTCAAAGACAAACTCTAGGACTCTACTTGGAGGGGCAGGGGACTTAGTAAGTAGGTTATAAGTAGAGTTGTAAGCACCCTAAATGGAGTTACCCCAATTATAACCCTACTTATAAACGACATACTAAGTCCCCTGCCCCTCCAAGTAGACCCTAAACCCTAAGCCCCATAGATCCCTTTAAGGAACCCTATAGATCCCTTTTAAGGGGTTTAGGGCTTCGGTCTCAACTTGGGTTTCGGCTTTGAAGCTTTGGGGCTGGGGTTTCAGGTCGAAGCTTTTAGAGGCACTGTCACCACGATGACGACGATTGCTACCACCACCACCACGACGACGACGACGACTACTACTACTACTACTACTACTAGTACTACTACCACTACTGCCACTGCTACCACCCCTCCTCCTGCTGGCTGCTGCTGCTGCTGCTGCTGCTGCCGCTACTATACTGCTCCAGCTGCACTTGCCCTTCCGCTTCCGCTGTTGCTGCTGCTGCTGCTGCTGCTGCTGCTGCTGCGAAGTACTGCAAGAGCAAGAAGCAAACCCGAAGCCCTAAACGAACCCAACCCTAAACCTTAAACCCGCTTGAAACCCGTGGAAACCAAGGCCCCACTTCTGACACAGTATGGCTTCGCGGTCGGCGTGGTGCTCACCGGCTGTGGGAACAACATCGTCAAGCAGAAGCCTGTTTCGGTTTACTTAAAAGGTTCATGGGATTTAGGGTTTATGGTTTAGGATTTGAGGGGTTTAAATGGACTTAGTAACTGAGTAACTAGGGTTGTGCAAGTTGCGAGCAAGGTAGCTATACTCATAGGAAATTTTAACCCCAGACAAGGTACTTCGGAACCATACTTGCTAAGTCCCATGAGCCTCCGAGTAAGGTTTATGATGAGAGGTTTGAGCAGTTAGAAATGCTGTTCTTTAGTTCCCGCCCCAGAATCATAGTACACGGTATACCGCAGCCCAATTCGAAAATATGAAGCAGCCCACAAGGTGTTAGGGCTTAAAGTCTGTTGCTTTCAACTTAAAACTGGACCCTCGCGGCCTGGAGCAGTCCAGGCCTATGCTTTCATAATTCGGTAGGATGCTGGAAGTATTATCTACCGATCCTATCCCTAAACCCCTAACCCCTGAACCCTAAACCCTTCATCCCTAAACCCTACATATCCTTTAAAGAACATCAGGTTTGATCGCTGGGGGCCCTGCAATCTTCCTCAGGGTTCCTTGATATCACTATATCATTTTACCCCAAAGCCCTAGTCCAGTCTTCGTTTAGGTTTTAGGGTTTAAAGTAAGGGCGCCATATGAACAAATAGAGGGACAGCAAGGCAACAAAACAGACAGCAAACAGTGAATGAATCGACCTTTTGCACGCCCGCCCGCATGTCTGCCCGTTTGCATTTTGCATATCTTGATCCGTGTTTGTTCTCTGTATGCATACCACCCTAAATCCCAACCATAAAGAAGTAAGTTTTGTTATGACTGGATCAGCTTTCGAAGGGCTTGCCAGGTACATTCAAAGCCAAACGAAGTCTTTTGTCCTACAAACTCCACCTCTAGCCCCGAAATCTGTTGCAGTAAGATTCCCGGCCAAAACTTACGTAAACTCAAAACGCTAAACCACTAAACCCAGAGCGGTAAATTAAACGCTAAAGCGTTAAACAATAACGGAAACCTTACAACGCTCTGAAGCCCTAAACCGTACCCAGAGGCTCCAATATCCTTTAATTAAGGAATATACCTTCAACTATAGTCGGATCCCTAATATGATTTCAGGAATATTCCCTAATTACGGGATATTGGAGTCTTTGGGAGCCCTAAAACCCTAAACCCTATGGATCCCTTGCCTATAGATCCCTTTAAGGAACCCTATCAATCAAGGGATATTGGAGTCTTTGGGTGGGCTTTGCTAGTGGTGGGCTTCGACCCCCGCTCCGCTCAGGATCGCTACGCGGCCGCTGCCTCTTGGTCTCCACCCTGAACCCAAAAGGCTTTAGGGTTTAGGGTTTAGGGGTTTAGGGTTTAGGGGTTTAGGGGTTTAGGGTTTAGGGTTTAGGGGTTTAGGGGTTTAGGGGTTTAGGGTTTAGGGGTTTAGGGGTTTAGGGTTTAGGGGTTTAGGGGTTTAGGGGTTTAGGGTTTAGGGTTTAGGGGTATACATATGGGTATACATACGGGAGTTTCCGACAATTAGGGTTACCATATTTTGGGGTCCGCATAATAAGGATCCCACCATTTAGGGTACAGTAGGGTGACGGGTATAAGGTGTATTCTCAAATTTGACGATTTGGGGATTCTCTTGGAACCCAATATATTATATACTGATGCCTTGGACGATTTCGGCAGTTCGTGCCGTCATTCAAGAGCTTCTTCCAGGTCTAGAACTTGCGGTGCAGGATAACTCAAGCCACAAACATCAAATCCTAAACCCCAAACCCAAACCCGTAGTGTTGTGTGGGATCAGCGGTGCTGTGCAGGATTAGGCAATAAGAGGAACACTTGCAGCTAAACCCTCCAAATTCTTGTTGTCGAGCCCTTATCATTGGAGCCATCGAAGCATTGAAGGAAGGAACCTTGAAAGCAGCCTAAGATGTCCCGATAGAATGGTTCTACACGGCACTAGGACGGTTGCGTAGTATAGAACTTTCCTCGTGCCTTGCAGAACCTCTGTGGTACTCACCTCGGCATGATGCTGTATGCTTGTGTAATAGATAACGGTTTCTTGGGGTTTAGAGTTTGTTTGTTGGTGCTTGTATCTTTTGTTGCTTTCCGTTCGCGTGTTTGATAGTGTCTTTGTTTGCATGTTTGTTGTTACTACTTTTTTGCGGTTTGGGTTTTAGGGCTTGGGTATCACTCATCACGACCCCCTGTCCCTAAACCCTAAACGCCAAACCCTAAACCCTATGGCCGTCTATCCTAAGCCCTAAACACCCCTAAACCATCCTACTTGGAGAGGCAGTTATAGTTAGAGTTGTAAGTACCCTAAATGGAGTTACCCCAATTATAACCCTACTTATAAGCGACGTCCCCGGCCCCTCCATGCTAAACCTTAATCTGAGGACTCACTACACCTACATTCTGAGCTTGGCCGACGCAGTGGCGTACCTGCCGGTGCTTTGGAGTTGGCACTTGGGGTCAGACCCCAAATCCCAAACACCTAGATCCTAAAACCCATAATATGGGAGCCTTCATAATTAGAACAGGGCTGTGGGGTAATTACATTATACTCTAGCTCAGGAACCCACAAGATAGTACATACAGGTAATCAGTTGGGCCCCAAAAGTAGCCGAAGCGCTAAAACCCTCAGCCCCCTTCACCTTAACCCTAAACCCTAAACCCTAAACCCTAAACCCTAAACCCTAAACCACCCAAGCTACCCAAGCTTCGTCACAAACCCAGGCTCGCCAATGTAAAACTCCTCAGCACAAGGGCCTGAATGTTTGATATTTGTACTGCTTCATAGCCCTAAAACCTATCCTAAATAGTAAGGCGTCCTCAGTATCATTATCCTAAATCCAGACTCCCTCCCCCTCACAAGTCTCAAATGTCCACTCAAGTAGGGTTTGGCGTTTTGGGTTTGTTGGGTTTAGGGTTTCGAGTTTTGACGCTGTCAGGTTGAAGGCGGGTCGTTGAAGGCCTGGGATTGGCGGTTGCTCTGGTCGATTAGGGTTTAGGGTTTAGGGTTTATTAGGGGTTGTTAGGGTGTATTCGGATATAGGGTTTAGGGTTTATTAATTAGGGTTTATTAGGGTTTAGGGTTTAGCGTTTATTACGGTTTAGGGTTTAGGGAATGAGGCCGAAATAATCAGGAATACTGCTCCTGAGAGTTCCTCAGTATGTGGAGATTACCATGTAGCCTAGAAGCAGTCCCTACCTGGGGATCCAAAACCCTCCCGTTTTAAGGGTCAGACCCTTTACTTAAGGGGTCATAACCTACCATTTAGTAGGGTTTGGAGTCACAGGTAATTCTTAAAGCCCCTGCATTAGGTGCCAGGTTGGCTTAAGGCCGCGGGCTTTTGGGCTCAACCCCTAATGGGCTCAAGCCCTACTGGGCTCTGCAGGGGCTCTCTAAACCCTAAGCCGTTCAGGGCAGCTCTGGGGCAGGTATATGGCGCGATCCTTCTCACCTTCCTGGCATCTGGCATTGAGCCATGGCATAAAGAGAGCGGGCACGCCAATCTGAGGATCCTACTTGGAGGGGCAGGGGACTTAGTAAGTAGGTAAAGTAGAGTTATAAGTGCCCTAAATTGAGTTACCTTAGTTATAAAACGACTTACTAAGTCCCCTGCCCCTCCAAGTAAGATCCTACTTCTTTGAGCGCTTGTGGCACGTAAGACTCCTGCCTGGCTAGGCCGAAGAGATACCAAACAGGAGTCGCCTGAGACGGTCATCGTAGTACAAATCCTATGCCCGAAGGACAGATGTCAGAACTTAGGGTTTAGGGTTAACAGTGCACAAACGCGATTTATTGCAGGGATACCATGCATGTGAGGCCACAACACGGCCACCACAGGGCCCCATAGAGCCCTCATGGCAGTACAATGCTGGTAGCATATCGACCCCGAAACCCTGGCGTAGGTATTGAGGCCCCTTTTTTTGCACCTAAGCCCCGACAGCCCTAAAGCCCTAAACCACAAACCTTGTAATCCTGAAAGCCCTAAATGCTACTTCAAGGGTCATGGGACTTAGTAACTAAGATTACAAACAAGGTAACTAGCTAGACTTAAACTCAACTATTGGTACGTACAGCTCAACTTACTAAGTCCCATGAACCTCCAAGAAAGCCCAACTAGCAGGTCCCCGGCAACCAGATCACCTTCATGTGGTGTCGCCCGGGGCAGCGTTTCCCCTACTTCTTGCTGCGGCTAGGTGGCCTTCAGGGGATCTGCTCTAAGGGTTCTATAAGGGTTCTATACGGTATCACGCTTCTGGGTTTTATGGTTTGAGGGGTTTAGGGTTTCAGTGTTTCAGGGGCTTTTGGATTTTGGAGATTCCGAAAACAGGGGACCCTAATATAGTAACCTAAATAGTAGGGTCCTTATTTATACGGACCCCAACCTAAGGTACCCCTTTTTTCGGAAACTCACATTTAGGGTTTAGGGTTTAGGGTGGTCTTGGGCCTGGTCAAAAAGGTCCAGGGGATGTAGTACGTACGGTCAAACAACAAGGCAGCTATACGTATTGCAGTCCCAAGTAATCTCCTAACATATCCGAAACCATCCACTGTGAGCTTTGATCCTAAAAGCCCTACATCCTAAACCCTAACTCCTGAACCCTAGACCTCAAACCCTAAACCGAAGTTCTCAGCCGTATGGTCCTCCAAGCGGGGGCAGACATATCTTTTGGGCTTCCTAGAAGCTCCTATAGGTCCCTTTACAGGGATCTACAGGAGCTTATGGGGTTCCTTTACGGGGGTTTAGGGTTTAGGGTTTAGGGGTTTAGAGTTAGGAGTTTCTGATTTAGGGGTTTAGTGTTCGCGGGCTAAGGGTTCAGGGCAAGCATAGATATGATTCCGCGAAGCCGTGCTGAAATTATTAAGGCAACTATCAGGCTAAGCTGCTGAAACTGAAACCCCTAAACCCTAAACCCGAGACAGGGTTTCGTGTTTTTGAATGCCTTCGGGTTTGGAGGTTTAGAGGTTTAGGGTTTAGGTTTTAGTGTTTAAGGTAAACCTGTGCCCCAGAAGACCTACCCTTTTAAGGAGCTAGATATAGAAACCATAGTAGGCAAACCCTAAGAAGGTGGCTCTTTCCGGCTGCAGGTATTCCTGAATTAAGGCCCCCAAACCCTGAGCCCTATAGATCCCTTTAAAGGAACCCCTTAGAGGAACCCTAGGAATATTCCTTACGGTTGATGATAGAAATCCTGCATTACCTTAAGGACCCTAAACTATGGGAACCATGGTATATTCCTTATTATGGGTGATGCAGGATGTATATCATCCTAAACCCTAAGCCCCCTATAGATCCCTTAAAGGAACCCCTTACAGGTACCCTTATAGATCCCTTTAAAGGAACCCTAGGATTTATATCATCAACCGTAGTTCTCGTAGGCTAAAGGGCTTAGGATTCGAGGTCACGAGCTTGAGGCTTCCACTCTAGCTCATATTGGGATCCTTCAGGGTTTGGGGTTTCCTTTAAAGGCTACTATAGGGTTCTATCATAAGGTTTCTTTTTAGGGGGTTTAGGCTCACAACCGTCCGCCCGATAAACTCCAATCGCGACTGTCGGCCTGGGTTTAGGGTTTGGGGTTTGGGATTTAGGGTTTGGGATGTAGGATTTAGGGGTTGGGGTTTAGGGTTTAGGGTGGCTCATACCCTACCACTTTTTCAGGACGCCTACTTTTTATGGTTACAGATCCTAAACATAAAACTAAGTATCCTTCAAAAGGGGTAGGTTATGAGCCTCTAGGTAAACCCTGAACTCCAACTCTAAGCCCTGAAGCACCAATCCGAATGCTAAATCCTGAGCCTTTCAGCCCTATGTAATCCCTTAAACCCCAATCGCTGAACCCGCCGACTTTCGCAAGCCGAGGATCCATCCCCAGAGGCTCCAATATCCCTTAATTAAGGAATATACCTTAAATTATAGTAGGATCCCTAATATGATTGAAAGAATATCCCCTAATTAAGGGATATTGGAGTCTTTGGGATCTTAGAGCTTGATATAGCGCTCTGAGTCACTACCAGTGGGACCCGGTGGCTCTGGGTGTTCAGGAGGGGTTTAAAGGGAACTCCAGAAAGTTGGAATATGGTTTCATGGTAGGATCCCCTATAATTTACCTTAAAGGGGGTACGATAATGATATTCCAACTTTCTGGCTTCTACTGTAGGGTTTTAGAGGTAGAGGGGTTCGGTTTCACCATACACCCGATGCCATAAAAGCATAAACCTCAAGCCCAGAATGGTTGCAGCCGGCTTTGCATCTGCAGCCGCCGACGTCGTGGGGATGACACTTTTGCTGATCTGAGGTGTTCTAGGCGCAGAGCAAGTTTCCTCTTGCCATAAGGGTGTCTATCATAGGGATGAAAAAGGGCTTTCCAGTTTCCTGCTACAGGTTTTGGGTTTCGGGCCTCGTTTTGAGCATGTTCGCTTTCCGGGTTGTGCAGGATACCTCCCGGAGACTCCAATATCGCTTAATTAAAGAAGATTTCTTAAATCATATTAGGGATCTCAGTATAATTTCAGATATATTCCTTAAATAAGGGATATTGGAGTCTCTGGGTACTTGCCTGTGCTTTTTTGGGATATGGCTGCACTATCGCAGAAGTCCAGTCTGCAGTTGAACCGAATGGGTGTCCAAGCATCATGTGAGAAACGCTGGTAACATTAAGAATGAGTTTCAGGGTTCAGGGTTTGAGGTTTCCTTTTCTTCGGCATCTCCCGTGATTGTGTGTTATTCGCAATCTCGCTGGTTGTGGTATTCCTGGTCATGCCACAAGATTTTGCATTTTGCAGTGCCGAAGCGGCGACATTTAAGATCTAACGGCCGCACACCTAGAAACTCCAACATCCCTTACTTCAGGAATATACCACAAGTTATAGCAAGATCCCTAATATGAGTGAACGTATGTATTCCTTAGTTAAGGGATATTCGAGTACCCTACACCCTAAACTTTAGATCCCTCAAAGGAACCCTAGGTATTCCATAGCTGAGGGATCTTGGAGTCTCTGGGCAATCATGAGCCCCAAGCAGAAACGCAAATTATCAGTGCCAGAAGGGCCCCTCAAGCCGGCACCCTAGCTTAAACCCTAAACCCTAAACCCTAAAACCTTAAACCCTAAACCCTAAACCCTAAAACCCTAAAACCCTAAACCCTAAACCCTAAACCCTAAAGCCCTAAGCCCGGTTTAGGGTTAGGGTTGAGGGCGCAAGCCCTAATCCCAAAGCTCTGAAGCCTCAGCGGCCCCATTACTGGAGCCGAAACAACAGAATCTAAGCCATTTACAGGTGGGTAGTTATTAGGTGGGTAGTTTCCCATAAGCCTCCCATACCACTCCTATAAGGTAAAGGGGGTCTTATGGGAGTACTATGGAAGAAGAACTACCCACCTGTAAGGGGCTTCTACAGAAGGGCTTCATGATTAGAAAAGAGCTTTGGGGGTATGTCACGGTATAGTTAAACAAGAATGAGAAGGGGGTCTCCTTTCATGGTTCAGACCCCTATAGTGTGGAGGATAACAAAATTTCTCACAGACCTGTGTAAGACCGTGCACAAGTGTAGCAGACGGGGATGATACCCAAACTCCTTGAACCCCTAAACCACGGAAGTCCTACAACCCCACACCCTGGACCCTTACACAAAGCAACCTAACCACGAAAACGTGTACCATAAAACCTGAGATGAAGTATTGAAGAACTAGCCACTCATAAAACACCACGGTGAAAAGTTTAACATCCAGAGAGAAAGAACCATGAACCTTGAAGCCCTAAACCCCTACAGTAGAAGCCTAAAGTTGGAACCCCCATAGCCTCAATCCTTAAGAGTACTGTATAGGGAATCCCAACACTATCTGGCCTTAATATCCGGTTTCCAACTGTATGGGGTTTACTGTAAACCCTCAGACAAGTAACTATACTTATGATTACTTATATCCCCAGTTAAGATACTTATAACTGTACTTATTAAGTCCCATGAACCTCCAAGTAAACCCCTAAACCCTAAGCCCTATAGATCCCTTTAAGGAACCCTATAGATCCCTTTAAGGAGCTTTTGAAAGACCCAAAGTAACCCTAAACCCCCAACTGGCCCTAAACCCTTTGAAGGCTCTCCACCCCTCAGGGTCCATGGTACCCCTAAACCCTCAGACCCAGGATCTGCACCCCTTACGTTACCGGCCCGCTCCACTCCCTTCTCTCCAACTGCACCTCCGCGCCTGGGCAAGAGATCAAGATACGGTGGCTTCTGTTCCTTTAAAGGGTGCCTTTAAGGGGCTCCTTTAAGGGATCTATAGGGTTTTAGGGTTTAGGGTTTAGGGATATAAATCCTGCATTACTCATGATAAGGAATATGCCATAGTTCCCATAGTTTAGAATCCTGAGGATCATGCAGGATTTTGTCCTTCAACAGTACGCCCGAGAGGTTCAGGGTTTAGGGTTTCAGGGTTTAGAGCTTGCGATTCAGGGGTGAATATTTCGCATTTCAGGGTTTAGGGTTTCGGAGTTTAGGGTTTTCTTCATTACATGGTGCTTATCGCGTTCTTTTTATGTGCGGTTTCCATCATGTTGTTGTGCCATTTTCAGGGTTATACTTGGAGGCCCTGTTGACTTAATAAGTCTACTTAGTATCCCCTAGAAACCCCATTATAATCCCCATAACCCACCTTACTAACCCTACTTACTAAGTCAAAAGGGCCTCCAAGTAGGATCTCCCGAGGGTTTCGTGGGTGTTGAGGGGATTCCCTAATCCAAGAACCCCCTAAACTCCTAAACCCTAAACTCCTAAACCCTAAACCTTAAACTCCTAAACCCCTAAACCCCTAAACCCTAAACCTTAAACCCTAAACCTTAAACCCTAAACCCCTAAACCCCTAAACCCTAAACCTGTAACCCTAAACCCCTAAACCCTAAACCCCCAAACCCCTAGAGTTTAGGATGTCAGGCCTTTCGGGTTCCCTACCCCCACCTTTGAGGGTTCGGGATGGTTCAGGGTTCCCAGAGACTCCAAAATCCTTGAATCAAGGAATATTCCTTAAAGCCCGTTAGGGATTTTAGTATAATTTTGAGGTATGTTCCGTAGTTAAGGGATATTGGAGTCTCGGGGTTTGGGGCGCTTAGAGAATGATGCAGCTTTCCCGCTCTCAACATTGTCCTAAAGCGAGTCCCCTACACCCTAAACGCTAAACCCTACACCATGTGGTAGGTGTCGCATGGGTGGGTAGCTTAAGGAGCTCGCCTCAAAAGGGGCCTTCGAATCTGCAGTCGAAAAGGGGCCCTAGAAAAACAAAAAACCTACACCCTAAACGCTGAACCCTACACCCTCTGCGGAATAGAAAGAGGCCCTTTAAAAAAAACTACACCCTAAACCGAAACCCCAAGTGCAGGTTTACGTTGCACTCCTGTCGATTCTCCTCTTGCGTCAGCGCTACTCGCTGCTCCAGGCCCTGTGTTTAGGGTTTGATTGAAGGTACTTGGAGGGGCAGGGGGCTTCGTATGTAGGTTATGTGTAGAGTTTTTTGTACCCTAAGTTATAACCCAACTTACAAACGACTTACTAAGTCCCCTGCCCCTCCAAGTTTCTTCCTTAATCAAGGGTTTTTGGAGTCTCTGGGTTTGTGATGTGACAAACCCCGAAGCCTACGGTGAAGCTTCCGTAGTACGTGGTCCTCTGTTCCAATTATTTTGGCCCTCTGGCATTTGCTTTGAGGGTGCGCGTTTATGTTCGTCTGATTTGTGGTGTCCCCGGATGGGTCTCGGATTCACAGGTGGCTGCGCTGCTGTTCGTACTTGCGGCGGCATCTCGGTCAATCAGCGGTCGAGTAGTTGCGCATATCCAAAACGTAGTCTATTCCTTCAAACGAAGTGAGGGCTTCGATGTCAGAGTCTAACTTCAGAAATAAGCGTTCTGCAAAACTATACACCCCACAACCCCAATCTGCACCTAAGGGTTTATTGAAGGACTCGGGGGTTTAGGGATGTTGAGGGTTTAGGGTTCAGCACATACGACACTGACTAGAGTTGCTAGAGTCGAAGGCCCTTTCGCGTTTCATCAAATGGAAAACCCGGTTTCAGACAGGAACGCCTCAATGTGATCCTACACCCCAACAGCTATGCAGGGAGGCGAATGTTCAATATGAGGGTTTAGTACTGAAAGGATCATGGGACTTGGTAACCAGAGCGCCCAACTTACTTCTAGCGCCAGTTAAAGTATTTGGTTAAAGGCTATAACGTGTGCGCTGTGTTTCTGCTTGTTCGCGAAGTGCACACTATGACAACGAAGCTAATATGAACAAGAAAGCAATGCCATTTCTCAATATCCCAGAAGCAGTACGCCAAAGACACAGATAAAAGAAAATGCGACACCACCGGACGAACCCAAATCAAGCACACCAAAAGAACACAACCAGAAGAACCAACACAACCAACACAAAAAAGCAGCACCGTTAAGGGGTCCTTTAGTATCCCCTTCTAGTCCCTAAACCCTAAACCCTACTCTGTACTGTAAGAGGTCATCATCGGAATCCTCCCAAGCTTTGCGCTGCTCGCTCGCAGGTTGTTTAGATTTTTCAGATTTGAAAGTATGTATATGAAGGTGTAAGGCCCTGAATCCTAAGCCTGAAAGTTTTCTTCCTGCATATTTTAACCTTAAACTGTTATTCGACATACGCAAGCTGGACCGGCACACTTATTCGGCATAGGCAAACCTGCACCCTGCAGAGGCTAGCAAATGGCCTCATCGAAATGTAACCCTAAACCCTAAACCCTAAACCCTAAACCCTATACCCTAAACCCTAAACCCTAAACCCTAAACCCTAAACCCTATACCCTAAACCCTAAACCCTATACCCTAAACCCTAAACCCTAAACCCTAAACCCTAAACCCTAAGCCCTAAACCCTAAACCCTAACCCTAAACCCTAAACCCTAAACCCTAAACCAGCTGTATCAACTTAGGGTTGAGAAGCTATAAAGTCTGTGTGATCTGGGCTGGTTAAATCGAGGTAGTAAAGTCTTCTTACTTCTGAATATTTGAGGATTCTCTGGGTGGGTGGGCATTCTCCTGTCATTCAGCGCGCTGTTTAACTGGTAGTTTCGGGTTTCTTGCAGCTTGCCAGGATGTCGCGGCGGTTCATAATGTCTTATAAAGGGTAGGTTTAGGGTTTGGGGTAAGCTTGTCTTGCTGAGAGTTTACGGCGCCTAGGGGTTCGGGGTTTTGGGGTTTAGGGATTTATGTAGAGTCCAAGCAGGGCTTGTGCGGTCTAACCGAGGGGTTAAAATGGTGCTTCAACATGTTGTTTCGGGGGCTTTATGAGGGGTTAGGGTTTACAGGGTCTGCCGTTTGGGGGGCACGGGATACATGAGTTAGTTTTTAGAATTCCTGCATAAGCTTTTTGGTTCCGTGAACCAAATCAACCCTCCTGGGACGGTCACTGTAGACAAGGATTCAGCGTTTCAGGGCTTACCCTAAACCTTAAACCCTAAACCCTAAATCCGAAACCCTAAACCCTAAACCGATCGTACCGACTAAACTGCGGATCCTGCCAAGCGCCATGCCCAGAGTTTCGGGTTTCGAGTTTAGGGTACGCGACTCCTCAGAAACTAGAACCTCGACAGCTGACAACACCCGAAATCATAGCTCTAGAACCAAAGGCGCACGTATTCCGGGCCGTTTTGAACCTTTACAAGCCTGGCTACGTTTTCTTTTAGTCTCCTTAGCAGAAGTGACTGCAGGAAAAAAGGGCACCCTTCTTAGACAACCGGTGAAAGCCCAGTAGCCTTAAGCCTACACCACCGACATACTCTGCTTGACCCTGAAGCATAAAGACAACAGCTGAGGAAGCAGGACCCGACGGTGTCCAACCAAACGAGCCTTTGTGGCAATTTGGGATACTGTTGGAGTTGTTTTGGGGTTTAGGGCTGAGGGTTTAGGGTTCCGGAGGTATGTGTTCATGAACTACAATCAAAACCTTCGTGAACCGTCTCGAAATCCCGGTATGAGACCCTGAACCCTAAACCCTGAACCCTAAAGCTCTACAAGGCATCTAAAAGCACTTTTCACGCGAATGTTTGGGTGGGGGGGTTTAGGCTTTAGGGTTTAGAGTGTAGGCTTTTGGGTGTAGACTCCAGGCTTCAGGGTTTAGGGTGTGGAGTTTCGGGTTTAGTGCCGTTGAAGATTAGGACATGAACTCGAAGCCCACGATGGGGGGGCCCTTAATCTGTTTTAGCCTTATATAAGCACAGGCATATTACGTATTTAGGCTCCCCAGAATCGAATCCAAACATCTCAATGAACATCACATTAGAACTCCCATAGAGTTTTTAAGTCTAAGGCGTATGCCATGTTTCAGGCTTGCTTTTAGGATTCTCTCGACCCAGCGGGATATCTCTGAACCCTAAACCATCAAAACTCTAAGCTGCACCCTAAACCCCAAAACCCTAAACCCCTAAACCCTAAACCCTAAACCCTAAACCCTAAACCCTAAACCCTAAACCCTAAACCCCTGAAACCCTAGACCCCTGAAACCCTAAACCCTAAACCCTAAACCCTAAGCCCTGTGCAGCCCTAAGGCCCGGCAGCATCCTCTAAAGTCCTTAATTAGAACAACTAGGGTTTAGGGTTTAGGGTTTAGGGTTTAGGGTTTAGGGTTTAGGGAGCCCTAAACTCTGAAACCCAAAGCCAAAGCCCTAAACCGTAAAGCCCAAACCCTCAACCGTTAACCCTAATCACATCCCAGGAACGCTCAAGGAACCTTAAAAAGACACACCTTAAGAAGCAATCATTTACAACACCCCAGGAACCCGAAACCCTGACCCCTGAGTCTATACCTTGAACACAGGCCAGTAATCGGGTGTGCTCAAAGGACCATGGGACGTTACAGTTATACGCAAGGTAGCCATACTTCTAACTACTCACAACCTCAATCATGTCAGCTATCACCTTATTTACTAAGTCTTGTGATCCTCCAAGTCTGTTATAGCTGCTACCTGGGGATCCAAAAACCTACCGTTTTAAGGGTCAGACCCTCTAATTAAGGGGTCATAACCTACTATTTAGTAGGGTTTGGAGTCACAGGTAAGTCTAATGATCCACCAAGCGTGTTTTTAGGGTTTAGGGGTTGAGGGGAAAGGGCCACCAACGCAGGAACCCTTCTAGATCCCTTATAGCAACCCTTATAGACCACTTTAAAGGAACCCTTTTTTGATTATTAAGGCTCCTATATTCAGGGGAAAGGGTCACCTACCTAAAACAACGCAGCAACGATCCTCATAGTAACCCTTGTAGACCACTTCAAAGGAACCCTTCTCGAATAATTAAGGCTCCTATATTCAGGGGAAAGGGTCACCTACCTAAAACACGGTTTAGGGTTTAGGGTTTAGGGTCCCTAAACCCTAAACCCTAAACCCTAAAACAACCCAGGAACCCTTTCTTCGCCCTTCTGCTGGCCCTCTCCTGCATCGGCAATGCGCTGTCTTTCATCCTCAAGGACTTGAAGTTTTTAGGGCTTAGGGTTTAGGGTTTAGGTGTTTTAGGGCTTAGGGTTTAGGGCTTAGGGGGTTTAGGGTTTAGGGTTAGGGCTTAGGGTTTAGGGTTTAGAGGGTTTAGGGTTTAGGGTTTAGAGGGTTTAGGGTTTAGGGTTGGGAAGCACTTGTATATGGGGGTGTCAGAATGATGTGCTAGGGTTTTTCAGGAGGGCTTTACAGTCTAAAGCCCCTCTGAAAAAACCCTATACGACTACAGTTTTCTTTATACACTTTTCTTCAGTTATTTTTTTTTGGGTTTATGGTTTTTGCAAGGGTTTGCGTCTTGGCTCTATGGGGTTTGTTAAGTCTGATACGCGAGTGTGCAAGGTTTCCTTACAGGGTTTCGGATCAGTTTAGCCCCAGAGACTCCAATATCCCTTAATTAAGGAATATTCCTTAAATCGTATAAGGGAACCTAATAACTATAATTCAAGGAATATTCCTTAATTAAGGGATTTTGGAGTCTCTGGGACCAGTCTATCTCGAAGATCCGAGAGGCTAAGATGTTTTGAAGCGTGTGGAGCCGAGAGTCAACCAGAAGCCCTCAAAGCCCTAAACCAAAAAACCTTGGGTACGGCCCCCACTCAGTAACAGTTGGATAATATTCATAATATTTAATAGTAGCCCTATCATAGACTGTTACTGTATGGGGGCCATACCCAACCTAAACCCTATAAACCCAAGAACCCTAAGCCTTAAACCCTATAAACCCTGGATTGAAGCCTCAACTCTACCTATAGCCCTAAAGCCGCAAAAGGTAGGCTATCACCGCTGAGTTATAGGTGCCAACCTTAGGGTTTAGGGTTTAGGACCCTAACCTTAACATTCAAGTTTGGGTTCCTATTCTTCTTGCTATGCATGTCAGCCTTGCCCCGAAGTTTGGGTTCAAGCTTGTAGGGTTTGGGGTCACTTTGATGGTAGATATGGTGTAGGGTGATGCTTCGGCTATGTGGGTATTTCTGTATATTTGGATCGCGGTTAGGGTCCTTTTTAGAAGGGTGCTGTGCTACTTTGGGGACCTGAAGAGGCGCCCTACTCTAGAGAACTGCCATTATCGTACCCTCACAGGAACCCTATTAACAAAAGCCCTTCTAGATCCATTTAGGCAGCCCTGAAAGGGGAACCTAATGTCGAGAACTATCCATATTGTTGAGTTGAGGGTACATAGGCCTTGGGCTGAAACGGCTAGGTTCCTGAGTAATACCCTTTTGCCCCTTGTATCCTGATTAAAACCCTACTCCCGAAACCCTAAACCCTAAACCCTAAACTCTAAACCTTAAACCCTAAACCCTAAACCCTAAAACCCTAAACCCTAAAACCCTAAACCCTGAACCCGACTAGTAGGAAACAGGGTACCCTTACTAAAGAAGGGGGCTACTCAGGAACCTAGGCGGCTAAGCCTCAGGCATTGAGGGATCGAGGGCTTCAGAAGGCTCTGGCATAGGGCTTAGGGTTTCGGGTTTAGGGTTTACGGGTTCAGGGTTTAGGGGTCAAGGGTTTAGGGTTGATGAAATCTGCGAATCTGCAAAGCTTTAGTGCCTGCGCAGTTATCGAAGATCAATTCCTCAGTGCCCTCAACCCTAAACCCTAAAGCCTAGACGAAGAGCGTGTCGAACTTTCGTGCGACAGCGGCGTGCCCTCGGGCAAGGAGTTGGGATTTTAGGGTCCGACCGCTGTGGCGCACAACATGTCGATTGCAGTGGAAGTCGGACTGCTCAGTGGCAAGACAGTTGTTGTGGAGACCAACTTGGCTGAGGATGTCGAGACATTGAGCAGTCGAGCACAGACCGCGCTCGGAGTCGGAAAAGGGCGGCTAGTGGACGCATCTGGAAGGTTTCTGGATCCACATGCACTGATCAGGGATTCCCAACTGCAGAATGATGATGCGCTGACCCTGCACATAGGCCAAGTTAGAGCCCGTGGCTCTTGCCATTCTCTTGCTGCCATACTTGGTGATGGCTCTGCTGTCACCTGGGGTGATGCTCGCTTTGGTGGTGACAGCAGTGCTGTGCAGGATCTGCTGAGGAATGTGCGGGAGATCCAAGCTGGTCACAACGCTTTTGCAGCCATCCGCGAAGATGGCTCGGTCGTGACCTGGGGTGATGCCGGCCAGGGCGGCGACAGTAGTGCTGTGCAGCATCAGCTCAAGGACGTGCGGCAAATCCAAGCCAATCGCAGCGCTTTTGCTGCTCTGCTTGACGACGGATCGGTGGTGACCTGGGGCGAAGCTCGCCGTGGTGGTGACAGCAGCGCTGTGCAGGATCAGCTGGAGAATGTGCAGCAAATTCAGGCGTCTGACAGCGCCTTCGCTGCTATTCTTCACGACGGATCAGTCGTGACCTGGGGTCTGCATGGAATGGGTGGTAGCAGTAGCCATGTGCAAGATCAGCTGAAGAATGTTCAGCGAGTCCAGGCAGCTAAGGCCGCATTCGCTGCCATTCTTGGCGATGGATCCGTCGTTACCTGGGGTGATCCCAACGGTGGTGGTTACAGTGGTGCTGAACAGGAACAGCTAAAGAATGTGCAGCAGATCCAAGCCACTGGCTATGCTTTTGCTGCTATTCGTGGCGATGGTTCTGTCGTTGTCTGGGGCGATCCTGACTTTGGTGGCGACAGTAGTGCTGTGCCGGACCACCTGAACAATGTGAAGCAGATTCACGCAGCCAGATACGGCGGTTTTGCAGCCACTCGCGTCGACGGATCGGTCGTGACTTGGGGCGCTGCTCAATGTGGTGGTGACAGTAGCGCTGTACAGGCTCAGCTGCAGAATGTGCAGCATATCCAAGCCTCTGCACATGCCTTTGCCGCAATTCTTGGAGATGGTTCGGTCGTGACCTGGGGTGATGCTGACGACGGTGGCGACAGTAGCGCTGTGCAGCATCAACTCAAGACTGTGCAGCAGATCCAAGCCTCAAGCCTGGCTTTCGCTGCCATTCTTGGCGATGGATCCGTCGTGACCTGGGGTAGTTCTGATGGTGGCGGCGACAGTAGTGCTGTGCAGGACCAGCTGAAGAATGTGCATCAAATCCAGGCCTCTGACTACGCTTTTTCTGCCATTCTTGGCGACGGCTCTGTTGTGACCTGGGGTCGTCCCCGCTGGCGGTTGTAACGGCTTAGGGTTGTGACAAGTAAAAGGAGCAAAGCCAACGAAACAAAATGCAGGCGTGAATGTTTTCTGTTGTTTCACTCGCGCTTACGGTTCTTCTACTACACTGAAACGAAAGCAACCACTTACACACATTAAGTCTTCACAAAGTAGTACTATAACGAAGAGATCCCCAAATCAATGATGAACAAGTGCACGAAAGTATTATGAACGCATGGTTTGTTGCCCAGAGAGCCCAATACCCCTTAGTTAAGGAATATTCCTTAAATCATATGAGGCACCAAAATCCTGAGATGAGCCCGGTTTAGGGTTTAGGGTTCAGTGGCACCAAAATCCTCAGATGAGCCCACCACCCGTAACGGTTCGGGCTTAGGGTTTCGGATTTAAGGGGTTGAGGGCTGAGGGTTCTGTGTTTAGGGTTTAATATGGGGTTTCGGGTTTAGTGTAGGGGTTTAATATAGGGTTTAGGGTTGAATCTAGGGTCTAGGGTTTAGTATAGGGGTTTAATATAGGGTTTAGGGTTTAAGGCTTCCTGAATTCGGAAAATTCGGTTCTTACTGAGCAGCTGATATGACACTAATGTAGGAAGGTGATGAAGGAACCTCGGGTCCTTGTTAGGGTTCCTTGCATGGATCCGACAATTCTGGCGTTCTAGGTCCAGGGTTTCTTAAGCAGGTTCCTACATACCCGTAAGTGAAGGGATATACCCTAAACTATAAGGGGCTTAAAACTTTTAAGCCACTTTGCTTAGTTGAAAGGTGCTTGGCTCTTTGGGCGAGGGTCTTCGGATCCCTTAGAGTGGTAACAGAACATAATGAACAGCATTTTGAGACTGTCAGGGTGTTGAGGGTTCGGGGTATACTTCGACACCCTAAACCCTAAATCCTAAACCCTAAACCCCAAATCCGAAACCCTAAACCCTAAATCCTGAACCCTAAACCCCAAATCCGAAACCCTAAACCCCAAATTCGAAACCCTAAACCCCAAATTCGAAACCCTAAACCCTAAATCCTAAACCCTGGACCGCTGAAGCCCTCGGACCCCAAAAGCCCTGAAGCTCGAAAAGGCTGAATTTCGAACCGTACTTGGAGGTTCATGGGACTTAGTAAGTACAGTTATAAGTACCTTAACTGAGGTTATAAGTTTTTTTTCGTGTAGTTACCTCATTTACAACCCTAGTTAATAAGTCCCATGAACCTCCAAGTACACTCAGAGCCTCGAACATGTTACAGATCTTTTGAACCTTGCAAATTTCTAGGCTGTAGAGCTGTATCTTGTTAATGGTTGTGTTCTAGGCTTTGGAGCTGTAGCTTCTTATAGTAGAAGCCAGAAAGTTGGAACATCACTCTCCTCATGCCCTTAAGGTAAAGCAAAAGGGATCTTAGCACTAATCCTCCTGAGGCCATGTTCCAACTTTCTGGCTTCTACTATAATGCTTGAGGGGTTTCGGCGCGTGAGGGTTTAGGTAGTTTCGGGATTCAGGCTGCGGGTTCATAGGATTCTACGCTCCCTAAGCCCTAAGCCCTAAACCCTAAGCCCTAAGCCCTAAACCCTAGGAGGATTTCCGGCGAGCAAACGGATCTGCTGGTCGAATAAGGGGCGCTTAAAAGAAAAACCTTAACCCTAAACCCTATAACCCAAACCCCCAAGCCCTAAGCCCTAAACCCTAAGCCCTAAGCCCTAAACCCTAAGCCCTAAACCCTAAACCCTAAACCCTAAAACCTAAACCCTTCAAAAAAAAAACCGGAACCCTGAGGCCCCCCCAACGCTGAACCCTAGAAAAGGAGCGGGGGTTCGGGGCCGTGAGGATTCCATGGGCCCAGGGGTTTAGGGTTTAGTATAGGGGTTTAATATAGAGTCTAGGGCTTAGCATAGGGTCTATGGTTTAGTATAGGGGTTTAAGATAGGGTTTAGGGTTTAATATAGGGTTTAGGGTTTATTATAGGGTTTAGGGTTTAGTACAGGGTTTAGGGGTTAACATACGGCCTGGATAATTGCAAATACTATTCTAGGGTTCTTTACTATAATTATAGTATAGTGGGCCCCAAAAGCCTATTCTAGTTGTTAAAGGCCCTTATGTTAAGGTGTGGGGTTTCGGGTTTAGGGTCTAGGGTTTAGGGTCAGGGGACTTAGTAACTAGGGCTATGGATCAGGTGAGTGTACTGCTTACAACTGTGCCTACTAATTCCCATGAAACTTCAAGCTTGGCTCCATAACACTGAATTCGAGATCCTAAACCCCCGGCTCTTAGCCTTCAAACCTTTACTCCTCAAGCCGTCCAAAACCCTGACACCCCGAAACCTAAGCATTTCCAGACAGGGTGGAGAGAACAACATCCCTTCTCTGTGTGGCATTTCAGTTTCAGCCGGCATATAGCAGCGTAAAGAATCAGCAATATGAACCCTCAGGGTTCCCTCTTAAATTCATAGGGATCCTTAGGGGTGTAGGGGGGAGGGGTGTAGGGGACTATATTTTCTTAAATAGGCCTTATTAGTCCTTATTATGGGCCTTAAGGCCCCCTACCCCCCCTCCCCCTACACCCCTAAGGATCCCTATGATAAATTCTAGGTTCGTTATGTTGCCAGACACTTGTAAGGTACCCACAAAACCATATTCCCATCCCTAAGGCCCCCCGAGCCAACATCGGCTGGGTTCTTGTTAAGGAGCTTAATTTAAGTTACCATAATAAGGAAACCCTATTATTTACGATAGATCCCTGGTATGGTAACTTAAATTAAGTTCCTTAACAAGAACCCGGTCGGGCCGGAAGGAGTTTCTCTTCAAGAGATACGACGGCTGGCTGATGGAGGAGCTAGACCCTAATCCCTACATGGCCCTGAATCTTAAACTAAGGCTCCCTTAAAGGACCCCTTCAAACCCTAAACCCTAAACCCTAAACCCTAAACCCTAAACCCTAAACCCTAAACCCTAAACCCTAAACCCTAAACCCCTTGAAAGAAACCCTTATAGACCCCCTTAAGAGGAGCCTTTCGGGCCTAAAGCTCCACAGCCAAGCCTCAAGGTCGAGTTTAGCAAAGGGATCCTTTAAGGGTTCCTTAAAGGGATCCATGAGGGCTCCTTAAAGGGATCTATAAGGGTTCTATAAAGGGTTTAGGGTTTCCAAAAATTGGGGGCTAGGATGCCCAGTAGTACCCTTCTTCCCTTTTTGTAGTCCTAGGTTCCTTATAAAGTTACCCAATACCAAAAAGAGAGGCCTTGTTATTCTTAGGTTACTGGGTATCCTAGTAGAACCTTATAGATCCCTTTAAGGAACCCTTAAAGGCCACCTCTTAAGGTCCCTTAGGACCGCTTAGTGTAGGGTTTAGGGATGCTGGTGTGGTTGGTGCCCTGCTGCTTTTATGAAGGGACTCTGAGGCTGGGATGGAGGTAGGTGGGATAATCGCAAAATGAGAGTTTCCGAAAATGAGGGGTACCTTATTTGGGGGTCCTTATAATAAGGGTCCTACTATTCAGTGTACTATATTGGGGTCCCCTATTGTCGGAAATAGGAGGTCCTTCATCCCACCTACCTTCATCCCATCTCCCTAAACCCTAAACTCTAGATCCCTAAATCCCTAAACCCTAAACCCTAAACCCTAAACCCTAATACCTTCATCGCACCTTTTGCGGCATGCCGTGTTGCCATGGTCGCATTCCTCATGCCTCTATGGTGAGAAGCGTGAACCCCACTTAGAGGATCATGAGACTTAGTAAGTAAGGTTATACGTACCTCAATTGGGGTTACAAGTCATTCAAAATATAGTTACGTGTTTTTATCCCCAGTTACTAAGTCCCATGATCCTTTAAGTATGGTGAGAAGTGTGAACCCCACACCCTCAAGGCTGAAATCCTGAACCAACTCTGAACCCTGAACCCCGAATCTAAAACCCCACACCCAAAAAACCCTAAACCCTAAATACATTGGACACTGAGAACCTACGGCCCTAATATAGGGGGCTAAATAATTGCACCAGCTCCTTACTATAATTTATAGTATAATGGGCTCAACATCCTATTCTAATGATCAAGACCCCTATATTGAAGCCCTAAGCATCGAAGCACAAAGCCAGGAATACGGGCAGACGTCGGAGAAAGGCCTCAACATCTTCGTGCTGAATACACACGAGGCCATCGCGCAGCTTCCCTTCACGCTGTTTCCTGGCTATTTCGACTGAAGCAGCCCTGAACCATAAATCCTACACCACCCTAAGCCGCCCCAACCTCTTCAAAGTTTAAAAGATATTACTGCCAACGGGTGCCACTGCATGTCATAGGTAAACAACGTTCTCTCACCGTTTTCGATTTTCGAGCTGCTCGCCAAAGGTAAGCTGTGTCCGTGTTCTGTGTGCCTGAGAGATTTCAGAGACGTCTGGGGTTTACTTAGAGTTTCATGGGACTTAATAGCTAGCGCTATAGTCAAAGTAGCTACACTTATATGTACTTATAACCCCGGTTAAGGTACTCATAACTGTACTTACTAACTCCCGTGAACCTCCAAGTAGTGTAATGTCAGCTGCTCCGTAAGAACCTCATGTTCCGACTTCAATCCTAAACGCAGAACCTTAAGCCCTCGATCCCTTAAATCCTAAGCCCTAAACCCAAACCGTTGCGGGTGGTGGGCTCATCCGAGGATTTTGGTGCCACTGAATGTGGCCTTCGGCCAAACCAACGGCCAGAGCCTCGTGGAGTACCTCAAGGCGCGGTTTAGGGTTTTTAGGGTTTTACGTTTTTTTTCCAGGGTTTGCAGAGTTTTAGGGTTTTCTTTCTTTCGAGGGTTTTTAAGATTTTTAGGGTTTTAAGCTTTAGGGTTTATAGGGATTAGGGTTTGTTGTTTCGGTATTTGTAGCATTTAGGGCTTAGGGGGTTTACGGGATCTGAAAAAGACTGTCCAGCGTGGTTTCGATATTTGGGTCACGAGGTGCGGAGGGATTTGAAGGTGGCCAGGGGGATCAGTTTTTCGGGTCCCTTTAAAGGGATCTATAGGTCTTAGTTCCTTGAAAGGGATCTATAGGGCTTCCTTTAGGGGGGTTAGAGGGTTTAGGGTTTAAGGTTTAGGGGTTGAAGGTTTAAGGTTTAGGGTTTCGGGATTAGGGATTAGGGTTTAGGACTTAGGGCTTATGGCTTAGGGTTTAGAGTTTAGGGTTTTGAGAGTTTAGGGTTTTTTGCGGATGTCTGCGAGGAATTGCTCGCGTCGCCAGGTGTTTGAGCTAAGGCTAGTATGGGCTTGGGGCTCAGCCCTAACCCTAGCTAGCAAACCCTAAACCCCCTCTACCCCCGCACACTAAACCCTATCCCCGAAACCCTAGCCCTATCCGTCCAAACGTAGGATTTGTTTCGCATGTCGTTTCTGGCCATACACAGCCCATGTACAATAATCGTAGCCCTTTCATAAGCCACAAATAAGTCACTTTACGAAGCAGCGTGCAGGAGGCCACCGACTGTGTTTTCCAATCCACCCCCGACGTCTGCGGAAGCGAAAGCTCGCATGCGGAATGGGCGGGCAAGCTCACGCTGATGTAGCTTGCATAGGTTTAGGGTTTCGGGGGGTAGTTCTCTAGATTAGGGTCCCTTTTAGGGTCTGGGATCTAAAAGGAGGCTACCCATATAGTGGCAGTGATGATGATGATCGAAGCTCAGGTTCTTGCTGTTGTCCTTCTCGTGCTTACTCGAATCTAGGTAGGGCTTTGGGGCTTTTTTTTTTCTCTTATACGGCTTAAGAGGATCTTACCTACTAATATTTTTCAAAGGCTTTAAAAGCCCCTCCTAGGAATGTGTTACACCTTGAAGGATCTATGCTTGGATACAGAAAGACGCAGGCCGGCCAGCCGGCCATGATAGGATCGGAGGCCTCAAAAGGTGGGATGAAGGTAGGTGGGTTTAGGGTTTAGGGATTTAGGGATCTAGAGTTTAGGGTTTAGGGAGATGGGATGAAGGTAGGTGGGATATTCCCAAATCAGAGTCCTTATATAAGGGATCCTTAATTAAACCTACCTTCATCCCACCTTTTGAGGCCTCCGATAGGCGCCACAGGCTTACACTCTCAAGCACGGAACCTCCTCTGGGATTGTATAGGGCCTACACACCTACCAATACTATTGTTATAACCCTTTCAATAATATACCCCGAAACCCAATATCTAGTATTGTGATGCCGAGGAACTGCTTTCGCCGTCGTCACCATCCTGAACCCCATGCCGAACCAACGACTCACTAAACCCCAAACCCCAAAGGCCTACAGCCAAATTCTAAAACCTAAACCCCGAATCCTAAACAACCCTAAGCCCGGAACCCTAAACCCTAAGCCCGGAACCCTAAACAGTTAAGACACCGTAGACACTACACCTTAAGCCCCAAACATTGAAGACGGGAGAACCCTCGCCTTTTTTTTGCTGTTGCCTTGGGCCGTGTCCTTGTCGGGCCGACTTCCAAGTGTAAGGCTTAAGGTTAGGGACCCAAAAAGCACATAAGCATAAGCATGTTATGGGGATATCCCTACCTTGTTGGGCTTCATTATAAGGGGGGGTTATTTGGGATATCCCTATCCTAATTTTTGCTTGTGTGCTTTTTTGGGGCCCTATAAGGGTTCAGGGCTCGAGGTCTAGTATTTAGGTATAGGGTGTGGGGTTTGGGATTTCGGGTTTAGGGTTCAGGGTGTAAGGTTTCGGGTTTAGGGTTTAAGGTTTGGGTTCGGGGTTTAGGGTTTTGGGGGTTTTCTCTTATCTATGGTAGGACACTTAGGGCGTTGGGGTGAGCCTTCCACCCTTGCAAGGTATGTGGTTTTCAACCTCTGCATGAATGTCACAACCTTGATGGCTGCGCCCCGGCGGTGATTGGAGTTGCGTTGAAACAAGAACTGCAAGTGCTGCCATAGATATACATGCTGCTGTGGCGATTTCAGCTTGGAGTGTGCTTGTGATTGCCAGTAGCTCCCACGTAATCGCCCGGACGCATTTCAGACTAGTGGGCCGTTGAGGCGGGTGATTCTCTACACTCTGCTTTTTCTTTGGGTTCACACAAAACCACAGTCACTCTCGCAGCTGTTAGGTGAGTAGAGACAACCTTCTGATGCAACTGATGTATATCAAGCTTTAGTCCTGAATGCTGTAGAATCCGACGAAACATCAGAACCACCATCAGCAGGCCTAGTGAGTCACCATCAATCCCTAGAAGTGCCACGTGGCAGGATGCATGCCTAGGATAGCCGGCAGACACAAGCCCTACACCTTACACCCTTTGCGGTCAACACCATAAATCCCAGGTGAAGTATGGTAGTGCTCTGGGTACCTTCGTGGCTCTCAAAGCCATCTTCCCTGTCTCGATGGTGCTCTTTGCCTACGTGAGCCTTTGCTTAGCTATTTCAGTGTTTAGAAATTCCTTGGGATCCGAAAACCTACCGTTTTAAGGGTTCTACCCTCTAATTAAGGGGTCATAACCTACTATTTTTTAGGGTTTGGGGATACAGGTTGGCGATTTGTGAAGGCTCAGGTTTTAGAGTTTGGGGTGAACAGCAACAGCTTTGAAGATGAAGCCTGCGGTTCGATGTAACAGCATCCCGCGAAGTTTCAGGACAATACTGTTCTGTGTTGTTGTCACTGGTGACGTCTGTTTGCACTTTCCCATCCAACCTCTTTTTCGCTTTCAGCGCCCTAAACCCTAAACCCTGAACCCATTAAACCCTAAACGCTAAACCCTACAGGGAACTCCAGAAAGTTGGAATATGGTTTCAGGGTAGGATACCCTATATTTTACCATAAAGGGCTTAGGATAGTCATATTCCAACTTTCTGGCTTTTACTGTAAACCCTAAACGCTAAACCCTAAAGCCGAGGCAATGGCCTCTGCTGGGCAAGACAGACATCCACTGGCTGACCTGGATGTCCGTCCTGGTCCTGCTGCCGTCCATCGGAGTCTAGCTAGGCCTTTGGGATATTTTTTGGTTTTTCCCTGTCGGGCTTAAAATTCACCCTTATTGGGCTTAAAAGTATCTTGTGTTCGAAAACTTTCCTAAACCCTAAACCCTTTTCAGAGGCTTATAAGCGCCGGCCCAGGAGTTTACCAATGGGCCACGATCCAGCAGAACAAGCGGGCTGCGATTCACCCATCTCTAGCGTCCTGCTGCTGGCCTTTCGGGGCTGCTCGTGCCGCCTAGAAGGGCTGATGGGCTCGACCCGAAGCTTGGCTTAGGGTTTAGGGTTTAGTTTAGGGTTTAGGGTTTAGGGTTTAGTTTAGGGTTTAGGGTTTAGGGTTTAGTTTAGGGTTTAGGGTTTAGGGTTTAGGGTTTAGGGTTTAGGGTTTAGGGTTTAGGGTTTAGTTTAGGGTTTAGGGTTCAGGGGCTTGGGCGACCTTAGCGCAAACACCTTCAAAATATGAGGCTACGCGAGGATGGCAATCGTGATCTTTGCATCTTTTCCGGCCGCTGCTGGCTGCCAGCACGAGCCCTGTCCCACTGGCAAGCAGGTTTGAGAGCGACAGCGGCTTATTCAGACTTATTCCAGTTGTTAAGCCCCGTATAGTAAAGTCTCTTACTAAACACGAACCCTGATCGTAAGGCGGTAAGAACAAACTACGAAGAGGTTCCGGTAATCAGCCAGGGCTGGTCTTTGCTGTTGTTTATTGTAAGTTGACGAGAAACGGTAGTACGTTTTTTTACCCCAAGCCCTCCGGAACCCCAAACCCTAAACCCAAGACCCCAAGCCGGAAGCCCGAAACCCAGACCAGAGACCTTAAACCATAGCTTTCTTGCGAGCCGTTTGAAGAGTTCCCCTCAAGCAAAACAAAGAGCCCTTACAGAAAGACCCAAGACCTCAAACCGTCAAATCCGAAAGCCTAGCTCGGGTTGGGTTTGGGGCTCAGGTTAGAATGGGTTTAGGGTGTAGAGTTGTAACGCAAAAGAGGTTTACTCGGCAAGCAGGGGGCTTCATTAATCAGGGGTCTACACTACATCCTGCACCCGTCTAAATCCTTTGCAGAAACCCTAAACCCTAAACCCTAAAACCCTAATTTCTAAACCCTACCCTGTAGGGTTCTACAACTTTGGTTTTTGGGATTTTTTTTGCCGTGCCCTGCAGGCTTCAGAGCCCAAAGCCCCTCATTAAAAAGGCTCCATATCCTCGAAGCCCAAAGCGAACTACTGGGTAGGGCTTTGGGACATTCTATATTTTTCCTTATTGGGCTTAAGAGGGTTTTATTTACTAATATTTTTCAAAGGCTTTAGAAGCCCCACCTAGACTACCAAACCTCCTGTATCTGGTAGATGAGTGGATACACTTTTTGGGATAATATTGCCCACTATAAAACTAAAGGTGCACACTTTTTGGGGCCTATGAACTCAGCATCTATGTGTAATCGAGGAATATACCTTAAGTCATAATAGGGATCGTACTAGAATTCAAGGAAGATTCGTACTTAAACCTGCTTCGTGGCTGTAGGTTTTCAACTCGTTTCCTCAGCAGTGCCATGTCATGCAAAATGCATGTCTCGGCTCGCCCTGCCTGCGGCACACGGACGCCTGGTGCTTCAGAAAAGGTCCGAAACCCTAGGTTTGGGCTTTCAGGGCGTAGGATCTGGTAAGGAGCGTTTATGAGCCCTACATCAGAAATCCCTTGCCCCAGCAGTCAGCATCTTGTGTGTGTGTGTGTGTGTGTGTGCGTGTGCTTGTTTGTTTGTTGGTTTTTTTGTGTGTTTGTGTGTGCGTGTGGGGAACCTTGGCTTTAACCCTAGTTAAGATGAGCGCAAGCCTTAGGTTCGATTTGGTCTAGGTCGTGGGGTTTTCCGATTTAGGCAGATGCTTAATGAGTACAGCCCGGAACCGCAAACCCTGAAGCCCAAGCCCTAAACCCTCAAGCCTAAACGGAAATCCTATGATCCAGATCCCTATATCGGAGTTCCATTTTTGATTACATGGTAAACCGGAAACCCAAATCCCATTTCCTACATCCCGTATCTGGAGGATCATGCGACTTAGTAAGTACAGTTGTAATGCTTTAAGTGGGGCCAGATGTAATCATGCGTATGCTTACCTCATCTGTAACCCTAGCTACTAAAGTCCCATGAACCCTTAAGTACCCTGCTTGAAGGTTCATGGGACTTAGTAACTAGGGCTACAAAGAAGGTAACTATACTTACAAGTACTTATCACCCCGATTAAGGCACTTATAGCTGTACTTCCTAAGTCCCATGAACCTCGAAGTAAGACATGCCATGACCTTTCGCATCGACTCTGCAGCCGCCGCGATCTTCTTCGACCCCTCAATCCCAAGCCCTACACCCTACTGGAAGAATCGTGGGACTTAGGTATCTTGGGTTTTAATAAGGTAACTATGCTCACAAAGACTTACAGTCTCAATTAAGGTACTTATAGATTTACTTACTAAGTCCAATGATCCTCCAAGTACAGCCACAAATCACAAACCCGAAGCCGCGAAATCTATAATAAATCTGTGGAGGACAGCATCCAGGAATGTACCCTGTGGAGCCCGTCTGGAGTCCTACAGAACCCGAAAGCGGCATCCTAAGCCCTCATAAGACTTCCCTAAACCCTGCAGCACTCTTAATTTCTGGGTTCCTTTACCTACATAAACCCGAAAAACCGTAAACCCCACACATGCATAAGCCTTAAACGCCAAACCCGACAAAGACCCTAGAATCGCCCTGGGGAGGATACCCTAAACCCTGAACCCTAAGCCCTAAACCCCAAACCCTGGACTTAGGCAGTACAGTTATAAGCGCCTTCAGTGGGGTTAGAAGAATTTGTAAGTATAGTTACCTTCTTTATCACCCTAGCTGTCTTAAAGCCCCATGAACGACTATACCCCAGAGCTTCAAGCCCTAAACCCCTAAACCCTAAACCCCCAAAAGTCCGAAAGCCCCTATAATTTGGGACCCTAAAGAGTAGGATCCTTATTATGAAGGCCCCAAAATAAGGTACCCCTAATTTTCGGAAAGTCCCATATGACCTAAACCCTAAACCCTTTATAGAACCCCTATAGATCCCTTTAAGGAACCCTTAAAGGATCGCTTTAAAGGTACCCCTATTTTTCGGAAACTCCCATATCAAGCCCTTTTAATTTAAGGAACCCCGTATACTACCCTTAGTAGTATCCCTTCGAAGGAACCCTTGTAGTAACCTTATAGTAACCCTTTAAAGCCCCTATAGTTTGTCTGTGGAGGATGGAATCCTCGACCCGGCGGCCCTCTTCGCGACTTCCAGCGGGCGCTACGGCCAAGGCGCCCGGGGCGTCACCGGGGTTCCCAAGACTCACAAACCGCTTAACTAAGGGTTTAGGAACGTTTAGGGTTCTAGGGTTTCTGGCTTAGGGTTTACTTTAACCCTGATTATCCTACCTTTTTGAGGACTTATATACGGAGATCATATTAAGGAACCCTAGAAAGGAAGGTTTTTTGGGGTCCAGGTAGGGTCTAGGGTTCAGGGTCTGGGGCTTAGGGTTTAGGGGTTTGGGGTTTGACATTTAGGGAACCAAGGGTTCTATAGGGGCTTCTCGGAGTTCTGATGTTTGTAACTGGTCGTATTGGGTTTCAGATGGTTCGACGATAAGGATGTTAATTAGCAGGTTTTGTAGGGTTCGATTCGGAATAGATTTTACATTTGCAGAGGTATCCTTATTGCAAATCAGGGTATATTCCTTTGTTAAGCGACTAGCGAGCTTCTATGGGCTTGTATTTCACTGACGTTCTCTGAGGGCTGATGAGGACAGCTTGTGAAGGTTTCGAACCACTAGAACCCGGTCTAGAAGGGTTTGACAAGAGCCTAACTTGGCTTCGTACGGCTGTGTACTTTATAAGAATCCGCAGGACTTTCTAAGAATCCGATAAGATGATAAGTGTTCGCAACATTTCCAAGAAATAGTTTGCAATGGTTCTACTGTGGTTTGACAGGGTTTAGCTTCGGGGGTTCAGAGTTCAGGGAATTCAGAAGGCCTTAGATTTTTGAAGTGTCTTTCGTGCACTCCCCCGGGCCTAGCACTCTCTTTGGGGCGGGGGTTTCTTGTGGAAAGGTGTGGACCCCGGGCGGCGGCACTAAGGGCTCTTGCCCGATGAGCTTTCCCTTTTCTCCCCTCCCTTGTGCTAGGGCGACAGTGCCCTCTAGTATTCTGGCTCAACTGTTGTTGCAACTGATCCGACGATGCCGACGTCTCCACCCATCATGGGCCTGAAAAGGACATCCAGTGTATATGTGAGGTATTCCACGCTCATCATATGATATATGCATTAGCAGCTCCGTTTGTTATCGGCCTTGTTCCAGGGCTGCGCCACTGTGCTGTTCATTGCCGCGGTGGTGTGCATGTTTATTTACTGTACCTGATTGGTGGCATGCTCGCCCTCGGTGCTGGAACAGTGTTCCCTCGGCACATGGCGCACGCCTTTGGGTCGCCTTGTGTGTGCCCTCTGTGCATGGAGCCTCGCTCCCTTGGCACTGGCCGCACGGTTCGCCCCCTTGCAACTCTTTGCGTCTACTGCCGGTTACTTGGTGTGTTCTTTGGCGCATACCAGCATAAGTATTATCGGTTGGTGACGTCTGGCTTGGCCTCCTGCCTGCTTTATCCCTGATCAAGGACTATGCCTCTCCGATTCTTGGGTTGGAAACATGTATCTTAGTATTCTACGCCGTGACCTGTCTGCACTAGCTAGTTCTTCCCCCACTTGAACTCTGGGACGCAGGGAGGCGATGACGCTTGCGGAGCCCCCCTGAGATGTTGAGAGGGACGTGGGCGGTAGGCCGCACCGTAAGTGCTGGTCGACACTCACTCATTCACTCACCCACTCACTCACTCTTTCGTGCGCTATACGAATGATCTACTTCGACGGTCATGGGTCGCTAGATGCAGGGTGACAAGTACCTTGAGGTGATGACTAGTCAAAGTGGCAGTGTGTTACCGTGATTAAACGTACGCCGAACCGAAGGGCCTAGTGAGGCCCGTCTGAAACCCTTACAAAAGTTCGATGGTTTTTAATTTTCAAGATTCTTGTATAGCCCTTGTAAAAACCCTTGTAAAGTCCGTTTTGAAAACCTTACAATCGTTTCTGGGGTCGCGGGTTTCAAAAAGTGGTCCTGGCAACTCCAAGACCAAACCTAACGCTCATTTTCGAACGATATGCGACAAGGGCGTAGGTGGTGTTTTGCTTTTGTTGGGGTTAGGTTCAGGAATCACGGTTTAGGGCTCCGTAGTTGCCGTAGTTTTGTTGGTGGTTTGGGGCTTCTGGGCTATGGATTTAAGGACTTATGACAAGCTTTTGAAAGCTCGCAGCTCCATGCCCCAACATAACTTGCACAGGGGTGGTTGTCAAAATTAGGGACCCTTTTTGGATCCCTAATATAGTACGGCACCTAATAATTAGGGTACCTCAAAAGGGACCCTTGTTTTGACAACCACCCAC